ATTTTTATATTTCTCATTAGGATATTTCATTAGGCTCCTTGGCACTTTCATTAGGTTTTCTTGGAATTTTCATTGGGATATTTCATTCAGCTCCTTGACCCTTTCATTACCATTTCATTGAATTTTCATTAGAATGCTTCTTGGCGCTTTCATTAGGATATTTCATTACACTCCTTGACCATTTCATTAGATTTTTCATTGGGAGATTTCATTGGGGCATCTGGCCCTTTCATTACCATTTCTTTTAGGATATTTCATTGAGCACCTTGACGATTTCATCACTTCTCATTAGGCTCCCTGGCACTTTCATTACTATTTCTTAGATTTTTCATTAGGATATTTCATTAGGCCCTTTGGCACTTCATTACCGAAAACTATATAATAATGATGATATGTATCACATGGGTTGTTGGGAGGGTGGTCACATGACCAATTACCAAAAATAGTCAAAAAGCGAAAGTTGTACCCCTGCACTGTAGCTTCCCGAATCTGGTTGAATTATGTTCTGAAGTGCTCTTGTTGTGGAGATATGAGGTAAAGGAATTCCAAAAGTGTCGTGTTTTTTTTGGTTTTTGCATTTTTCTTCATGAAAACAAAACCAAATAACATGATTCCAACACATTTAGAAAGCTAGATGAAAGGGCAACAAATATCATATCGTGGGAAAATTGACCAAAAAAGGAAGGTGCATTCCCTAAAAGAGCAATCAACACTGACAGACTACAAGAGTCAGATATAGACTACCAAGTTTACTGATAGACTATAAAAAAGTTGGACATAGGCTACAAAGTTTACTGATAGACTACAAAAGACTACAAAAGTCAGACTTAGACTACAAAAGCTTGGACTTAGACTACAAAATTACGGTTACATTAAAAGGTTTTGTAGTGTCCGCTTTTTCATTAGAAAAGTTTATAGTGTCCGCTTTTTTAGACTACAAAAGTTTGTAGTGTGTGCCTTTTCATTAGAAAAGTTTGTAGTGTCCGCTTTTCAGACTACAAAAGTTTGTAGTGTCTGCTTTTTCATTAGAAAAGTTTGTAGTGTCTGCTTTTTGAGGCTACAAAAGTTTGTAGTTGACATATAGTTTATAGTGTCCTTGACTCTGTATAGGTTATGGGGATGAGGTTAAAGGATTGACATGATTTTACATATTGCCATTGCTGCAGCATTTACTTTTGACATCATGTACAAATTGTCTTTCACATCAAGAAAGGCTATTCTATGCCTTCATATTGATAGCTACTGTCCTATCTCAAATCATGGTTCTAGGTCCATGTGGATACATATTGATAGTTATTGTTAACTTACATCATCACCTGACTTAAGGATACTTCCAGGGACCAATCAGCTCATCCTATTGCCCTGAAAGAGCTGGTATCACAGTTGACT